CCCTGCCCTGACCTGGGGCCCTCGGAAGGACTTCAGGGAGTGGCCAGTTACAGGTCTCACGGGCAGTCCTTAAAGCCAGGAAGAGGTGCCTGGGCGCCTCCTTTTCTGTCCACCGTGGGAGCGCCTCAGCCCAGGGCTAAAATAAAGCGTGTGCAGAGAGGCAGCTGCGTGGGCAAACACATGGTCAGCATTTGCAAGGAGCCAGGCAGGGCAACGCGCTAATACTTCTGCCTTTTGCCTGCCTGGCACAACAAAGGAGAATGATTTTTGCCATCAGCATTCTCCCTATCACAGAATCACTGCACAATTTAGTATGATTAATGGTTTCCATTTAGGAGAAGCTGAGAACGAACACAGTGGGGGAGACGCAGCCACTGGGCTGCAACTGGAGTGGGAGGGCGAGAGGTGTGGCCGGGGCCTGCCTCTACTTCCCCTCCTGGCATGGCTGGGGAGGCACTCGGGGTGAAGAAACCCATGGCTTTGGACATACACTTGCAGAAACAGCTGCAACCTTGTGATGCACTGTTTGCTCTTTCATCCTCGCCTCCTCCCAAGCATTTGTGACTGAGTGGTCACTCCCTCTTGGCCTGCCAAAGGCAGCTTCGTTCTCAGAGGTTGCTAACTAAGGCTGGGCCGAGAGGCAGCGCGGCGATGGGGCTGCATCGCAGAGGCCAGCTGAACTAATGACACCACTTCTTGGCCTTCCCGATGGCCACACGGGGGTGCCACATAGGGAAGGACCCATCCTGGTGCTGGACGGGCGTGGCCACCTGTCTCCGGAGCCCCCGGGCTGGTGGGCCTAGGCTCGGGTCTCAGCGGTGGGCTCTCCGGGTCCTTCTCCGCTCGCTCTGCAGCTTCCTTTTCGTTCTATTCCGGCAGGCACTGCTTCTTTCAGTCTCCCGGCTGCTGGCGGTGAGTGGTGAGACAATGGCGGTCACAGCCAGAGGCGTGTGGGTGCGGAGAGAAACCAACCGGGAGAACACAGAGGAGTGAAGAGGCCCTGCGTTCTCTGAGCAACCGCCTTTGTAACTAAAGGCAGAAAGGGAGGAAACTGGTGATCTTGGCTGGGTCTAACAGGACTCAACGCCTTCTCGGTGCATTGGTGTCTCTGCAAGGAAATCTATTATTTTCCACACACTGTCTTAAGCATCTCCCGGGCTACATTTCTGGCTGTGTTAGGAATCAAGCCATCAAGAGCAGCTGTGAATGGTTTACGCTTTCAGCAGCAGCAATGAGCTTTGGCAGGGAAGCAGGAGCAAAAACCCAAGGAGACATTTCAGTTGACAGGGATGGCATGTTCCCTTCCTTGTCCAAACGATAAAAGATTCATGCTCCTAATTGCAACACTATGGCTGCCCCATCACTTTATTCTGGGAGAGGAGGTTAGAGAGAACAGGCCTAGAGAGAGGGAGAGAAAGAGAGAGAGATGGATAGTAATTTGGTCACTAGCTAACAAAGGCTGATTAGTGCGAAGACTTCCTTCCATAGCAACACTTTTTAACCGGGTCTGCGGTGTCTGGGCAAACAGCTCTCGTGGATTAGCTGAACTTGAGCCTGCCAGCATCCCGTGCAAGTCTAACGATGAAATACTCAACTACAGAGAAAACAAACCAAAAGGGGTGATAAAGTCGCACATTTCAACATTCAGCAGCCATTAAGGGATTTAAATATTTGCTGCTATTAAAGGCTTGCATTAGGATCTTCCAACACCAGCTCTGGGAGACTAAAATATCTATTTTGGATCAATTTCCCCCCCTTAATAAACACGAATGCAGGATAAACAGTATTAGAAGCTGCGATCGTAACATTGCTGACTTCAGGATGCACTTCCTGCTGGTGACAGCAAGTTTACGCCTGGTGGTTAATTAACCTGAGGAAGATGGCACTTAAGGAAGATGATTTAAGGCTGAAATGTGGCTGTGAGCCTGGTGGGTCTGGCGGGCACCTGGAGAAGTCCTTTCCCCGGCATCACCGCCCCACAGCTCAGCACCTTGAAGGACTCGGATGGAGTTAAATGGTAGCTGAGGGTGGTTGTGCATGTGGAGACCCACAGAGCCGGCAACTTGAAGTCCGGTTTTCCTTGTAGGAATGATTTCCAAATTTAAATGGGAGGCTGGAGTTGTATTTCCCAGCACTGACCACTAGGGGCAGTAGGCAATTTTCTGTTCACTTTGGAATGAAACATAAAAAATATAAAAATCAGAACAAATATAATTTCCTGTGTACAAAAAGAACCTGGAGGTGGAGGATTGGACTTCTGCTTTCAAGCCTTGGTTTTGGGGTGCTCACATTATCCTCATGCCTAATATCCCGATTTGAGCACATGCTAATGTGGGTGGGGGGGGTGTGATGTGGGTGCATTAGATCCCATGGCTCCTATCAGAGGCATATTTCACAGTTTTGAGATAAACCCGGGTAAGGCGAGAAATATGGTTTCCTCTCGCATGCCATGCCGCCTTCGGAAGGTCCCTCACACGTGCCAGCAACGAGGCCCCGAAGGATGACGGGACTCACCGCACGGAACTCGGGGCGGAGGCTGATTTCTTCAAGGCCAACCTGAAAGCTGCCTGTGCTGAGGAGGGACTCACAGATGTCACGTCTGAGATACAGACTTGGTGACTAAGGCCAAGGGAGACTCGCGCACCCAGGTGCTGCCTCGCCTCCCTGTAACCAACGCTGCTCGCTCACGTCTGTTATGTGCCCACCGCTGACTTCACATATGGCCCCCAAGGTCATTGGATGGCGGCCACCAGTCCCCTCTGCCTTCTCCTGGGCAGGGCCAGGACAGCCAAGGACTTCCTTCGGAAATATTTCCAAACTATTCACGTGTGGCTGTGAATACACATTTCACTCGGAAGGAATTCGGCTGCCAGCTATTCATGCCTAAGGGCTGGACCCTTGAGTCCTGGCAAGAAGGGGTGCGTATATGCCTTGGGCAGGAGTTTATACTAAAAGAGAGCCCTCCCGTAGCAGTCTGTAGCGTGGGGACCCACGGCTGCTCTGAGGTTCTGGATGACAGAATCAAAGGAACACCTCTCCGCAGTCGGGCCCGGCGGGATGAGAATTCTGCTGCACGAGGACGGGACAGCGAGAGACGCCAATGCGCACCCGCACTTCACCTCGGGTTCCAGCTGACATGTGTGGGGAAGGCAAGCAGCCCAAACACTGGGAAACTCCCGGAGGAAACAGGGCCATTTCCCTCCCAGACCCAAGGAAGGTCCAGGAATGCACTGAGCTCCCGCTAACCGGGACTCTTCTGGCGCCTTCTCCTTCGCACACCCCATGGGACTCAAAGGAAAATGTCTCATTGGACCTGTGCCTCAGGGCAGGGACTTCCTGGGTCTCTGCCAGGTTTCAGCTGAAACTCCCACCTCATGTTACAGACTGGGGTGGGGCTGGAGTGGGGGGTGGGGGCGAGGGGAGGGGTGACACTAAACATACCTTGTGACTACACAGGGTCTGGAATAATGACACTGACGAATGGTGAAGAGAAAGGGTCTAAGGCAGTGGTTCTCAACCTTCCTAATGCCGCGACCCTTTAATACAGTTCCTCATGCTGTGGTGACACCCAATTTCATTGTTACAAATTGAGCATAATTAAAGGATAGTGATTAATCACAAAACAATATGTAATTATATATGTGTTTTCCAATGGTCTTAGGCGACCCCTGTGAAAGGGTTGTTGGACCCCCAAAGGGGTCGCGACCCACAGGTTGAGAACCGCTGGTCTAAGGCAGGTTCAGGGGCACGTGACGTGCCCACAGACCTGAGGTCTCAGCTAACAGGGTGGAGCAGGCCGGGCCCCTCTGAGTACACAGTCTCCATCTCTCCTCAGCAGCCCCTCCAGCAGACGGTCCACACAGCTGGATGGACAGTGCTGCCCGCGGCTCCCTGCCCGCAGCAGGGGCTGGCAGAGGCCCTGGCATCTCCACTCCTCGAGCCATGAGACTGCCCACCTTCCACACCTAATCCCACTTCCCTTTATTTTCCCATGCAAGCCAGAAGCCGCTGGGCTCACTGCCCTGGGCCCCTGCGGCTCATCCCCTCCTCAGAGGTCCGGCTGGGGCCCCGGCTCCTCCAGAGAGCCGCCTTCACTGACTTCCCTTCTCCAAGCCCAGCTCGGCCGGGCTCCCTGACATGCTGGCCGGGCCCAGGCTGAGGGCCACCTCCTGCTGCAAGGGGTGGGACTGACGCTGTGTTTCTTGCAGGGGCTCGACACTGCACATCTGGGCGACTGGTTTTTACAGGCGGGCAGGAGGCAGGCCAGGAGGGAGGAGGCTGAAATGAGACACCCAGCCTTTGGCTTTCCTAGAGCTCACCTTATCTCCCGCGGCCTTTCCCCAGGCCCTGCCCAGAGAAGGGAGAGCAAACCCCGGGGGAGCATGGCGGGGAAAGGGCGCGCTGGGCCGCTCAGACATATCCACGTTTGTCAGCTCAGCCCCGGGAGCCCAGCCATGGCTCACTCCGGCCTGCAAGGCAAGGACAGACTGGAGCGCGCAGTGCACTGGCCGGAGGTCCCCGCAGCCTAGACAGCAAGTGAGAACGATCTTCCGTGGGCGGCCAGCCAGTCCCCCGCAGCGAGTCTTTCCGTTAAAGGAGAGAACTTGAAATGAAGAAGGCAGAATGAATTATTAAGACACAGAATCCCAAAGTAAGAGACAGGTGGAGCAGCCAACACAGGGAAACTGGGGGTGGGGGGTGGGGTGGGGGGGAACGGGTCCACGGAGGGCGGGCCTGTCCCAGCTGGCCCGCCTCTGCATCCCGCACCTGCACAAACCGCTGATCCGCGCTGCCAGGCACCTGGCCCACCTGGCCACTGAGGGGGAGGAGAGAACAAGGACAGGAAGGATGAGCGGAGGAAGCGGGAGGAATCGGATCAGAGCAACCCGCTGGCAGATTTCCCAGCGCCTGCGGCTGCTCCGGTCCGCAAGGTCCTGAGGAGAAAGCCGGACCAGGGCCCGCGAAACGTCCATTAAAAAGTTCATAATGAGATTAAAGGATCACTTTGTAACATTAATTTTTTTATTAAGAAGACAGATATTTTATAGTACTTCTTTTTTTCTTTTTTTTTTCTTTTGTAAAAATGGTATACATGAACCAATACAAAATGCGAATGGGAACATATGGATATGGAGTTTCTTACACCGTAACACCGTCCATGGACACCTTAGCAACAGAACTGGCCTAGAGGGAGATAGGACGTCGGTGTGACTAAAGAACAAGCTTATTTGGCATCAATTATACATCCTTCATTATTTTATATTCCTTTAAAAAACACAAAAAACAAGTTTGTTCTTTCTTCACTCTAAAAAAAGTGACCGACCTGTACAAAGTAATACTCAACAATACATTTCAAACAGTGCACTGTATACTTAAGAAAAATACATGAACCAATATACAACTAAAGTCCAGAATTTCCTGTTTTTGCTTGGTTTTATTTTATTTTTTTTTTCCAATGTGTGGGGCCTACACTTAGCGATCTACCTGAGACGGAAAACACCAATCGAAACACATGGACCTGAGACATGTCAACATTGTAAGCCATAAAGTTACATCAGGAACACTGCACTACTGTACACTTTTCAAAACAGAAAGACGGGAGGTCCCAAAACGGAGATGCCAATTCTGTGAGCGATGCTACGTTTCGTTTTTTTTATTTTCCTCAAAAGAATGACTGAAAAAACCCTGTCGACAACATGCCAATGATTCTCACCCTTTGATCTGGTCACGCTAGGTCAGGATGGGAGCTAAGGGCTCGGGAGAGAGCTGCACGTTATAAAATTCCGTGAAAAAGGGAGGTTGGTTGTGGCCTTTGTCTGGGTTAGTGCCTCGGGACGGGAGAGGGAGGCGGAGCTGCTCGGCCGATCTCTTTCGAGCCAGTCCGCTCCCAAAGGCCCCGTATTGCCAATGGTTCTATCAAAGGTTAAAATAAAGACAAGAAAAATAAACACGCTTTCAAATAACAAAGAGTTGACACTTTTCCCCCTTAAATAAATCAGCGTAAGTTTTCCACATAATGTAACAATAGTAAAAATGCACCTTGCAAAATCCAAAGTTACTCACTGAAAATGTTATATAATATATATTTATATATATATAGATCTATCTTTTTTGATGCCATCTTTCTATAGGGACTGCGTTCTGGAGTCTGGGGCCTTACCAAGACGCCTGGTAAGAGTTTTGTCTCTATCCTTCAGGACTACTTCTAGGTTCCTAGACGTACCTGCCTTTAGAAAATGTAGAGAACTGACTCCTCCCCTTCCCCCAGGCTCCGCCCACGACGCCCTCCGGTGGCTTCTTTAGTAGCTATGCACTATGGCTGCTGTCATGCGAGGATTGGTAATTTTTTGGCAGATGGTTCTTAAGGCTGAGGAAAGAGGCCAAGGCTAGTGTATGAAAGGTAAAAAGATAAAAACACTCACATTTGAGTTTTGATTAAGTAACTGAAAAGCCCTGCATGCGGCTCCCCACCTCTGCTCTGACCTTTTGGGAACGGAGGTCCACGCAGGCCAGCGTGGGAACTGGCCTCCTTCTGGACCTCCTGCCTTTGTCGAGCCTGATCTGAAGGAAGGAAAGTTTCACACGGGTTTGAGTTGGACATCCCGGCATGACAAATATCTGTAATATACAGTACATGCAGGCCACATCCACCCCTTCCGGGCTGAGCACAAAGGGAAGACCTGTCCCATTCAGTCATGCTCCCATCGCACCGACTTGCTCTTGCCTACAAATTAGTGAGAAGTAAGGCCGACTGGGAAAGGTGGATGGAATCATTTGGAACAGAAACAACCGGAGCAGAACTATCGCTCCCCCTCCCTATGTCCCCTCCTGTGGCAACTCACATTTGTCCGCTTACACAAAAGGAACAGCCCTCCCTGTCAGGTTTGTGAGGGCACTAAAAAAGGAGCTCTTTCCAGCCCAACCCTCTGGACAGTGTGGGGTAGCTACACGGAGCCGTCTACAGACACAGAAGAAAGACAGATTCCACCTCGTTGCGACACACCTCACTGGCAGATAACCCTGTACAGTAATGTAGTTCCACAGCAAACAGAACAGTTTCTGAGTCACAGTCTACGTTTCTAGTCTTCACTGCTCTACGTATTTGAAACATGGGCAGCAGCAAAGAGTTCTCATTGTTTGTTCACCCAAATCTTTACAACAACAGAGAAGAATGCATATGGATACACTAAGTTCTGAACTATGAAATCTAAGCTGTGCTGGTTCTCCTTTTATGAAACTGAATTTTGAACACAAAGCAGTTACTTCAGCAACAAACAAAAAAAGTAAAAACAATAGCAAAATAAGGGGAAGGGGGGAAGATTCTAAGGAATCCCAGCAGGCAAATTCCAAAATGGGAGATTTAAAAAAAAAAATCAAAACATTTTTTGAAAAATAAATGCGCACAAAGAGGAATAAAAAGGAACGCAACCAACAAACAAAAAAACAAGGCACAGAATTTTCTGCAATCTACCCAAACTAAACCCAAGCATCCAAGTTTGACTTGGTAGGAGGAAATAAAAATTAAAAAAAAAAACACAAAAAAAGAGGTGTCAATCAGCAGAGTGTACTTTTCAAAGAACATTTTTTTTTTATACAGCAAATCCCAAGCCTTCCAGGTCTCGCGCCTTTCCACCCATTCATAAAAAATCACACGAATGTCTCTCAAGTTCCAATATCACTGTCTCTTTATCATCTAAATAGGGCCAGCGGGACACCTCATGGAAAGGAAAGGCTGCTCTAGATGAAGTACTCTTTCTTTTCTTCGGAGTTGTTCTGTCCTCCTTCTGCATTGATTATGGCTGTGTCTGCGTCTGCTGCGTCATCGGCTCCTTTGGCTTCATGAGTGAAGTATGTACCTGCAAGATGAAGGGGTAAAGCACCGTGACTGTCTGATGGCCTCTGTGTCAAGTGGTACCGAGATGGCAACTGGCTTTGTGGCCATCATCAGCGCAGTGGAGTGCAGGCAGCAGAGGGGAGAAAACAATCGGAGGAGAGAGCGGGGTGGGTGAGACAAGTGGGGATCCGGGGCTCCAAAGGCACCACGCCGACTGAACCGCTGCGATATAATTCGGCAAATGAGACATTAGAGCAGTGATGATGACCAGGGGATGCGGCAGAGGAAGACGTGAGTGGGAGCTAAAAATGCAGAAGCTGGAGAGCTGCTGGCTAACACATACACAGTCAACGCCCGGGACCAATGACCAGATATATGCACAGACATGATTAAGGACCAAAGCAAGAAAGAGCAATTAGCCAATAGATGAATTAGGGCCCTGATGACGTCACTGCCACCTCGAGTTGTTCAGCGAACCTGGCCTCCTGTCGCTATAGTCACTGGTGCCTCTGGGAGCGAGAATGCTCGCACTCGCCAGGGTGTCTGACTGGCTCCTGCTTCTGCTGCAGGTGGGTTCCAGGTGCAGAACTAGCTTGACGTTCGTCAAGGCTGGGTCTGCCTTAAGCTGCGGGCGAGTCTCTCTCACAGCAACCCTAACCGGACCCAGATTCATGGATTTGCTAACTGGCACGGCCACTTCATAGTGACAACAGACAGGACGGTACAAAGTTGGTGACACTCTTTATCACTAAGTCCCAGGAGTTTACATGGAGAAAGTATGTTATGACATAGGCCTACACTGCCTATGTCATAATCAAAGAGCCCTGTTCCCACTATACACTGTCTTCATAGAAACTCTTAGGTAAAAAAAACACAACAAAACCCATTGCTTTCAGGTTTCCCGAGTGACAAGTCTGAGAAGGCAGGCAGCCAGTGTCCCCCTGGGGCCCTCCTTCCTCTGCCTCTCCCCTCGCTCTCCCCAGCCGAGTGCAGACCTCTGTCCTGCTCTCTGGCCTGACTTCCTGGCTCAGCCTCGAGAGGCGGCGGGTTCTCGGCCAGTCTGCTTCTGGGTGTGGGCAGAGGGTGACGTATGCATAGCCCCGAGACCCCAAACAGTTTCATGCCTGAGACGGGCACTTTGGATCCTGAAGGCAGTTGTCAAGGACCTTGGACTTCCATTGCTGAGCTTAAGGGAACCTCTCCAAATGCAAATTCTACAAGCGAGCGGTATGTAAGCGCTTAGAGTCCATCTATCGGAAGCCCCGCAAGCTCATTGCACAGCACCGAGAAAAACAGCTGAGAGACAAGGGCGGACGAAGAGGGGGAAGATCAATTACCTAGGGAGAGGGGGGTCAGAGCAGCGGGGCAGGAGGAAAGCGCTGGAAGAGGGGAGGCCCATCCAGACTGCACAGCCGGTAAGTGTGTGATTCATGGCAATTTGCATCAATGACACTGATAATCTAAAAGATACATATTTATGTGGCTTTCCAGGCACACCAAACCAAGGAGGTGTTCTGGCCACTGTGGGCAGGCTACCTGAGCCTGGGGCAGGCGCACAGCCGGTCCACCCGCCCCCCCCCGGAAGCTGTAGGTCACGGGCGTTCTCTCTCCATGTCGGTGTGGTTCACCCCCACCTCACACACCAGCCCCGACTGTGGTTTTCCCTCTGTCCCCAATTATGGATTGTAGAGTAACAATCTATAAAGCTGTATATTTAGAGAAAACCCAAATCAAGGAGTGCTTGCTACTCATCAACTCTCTGAGTCCTAATCAGCAGCTGCTAAATTTTCTTTCTTTCCCTCTCCGTTTCAGGAATCAAAGAGGCCATGCGGCCACATAACCCAGACTGCCTATCCAGGACAACCTTGCCAAGTCCCCGGATGTGGGCGGTGGGGCACGAGGCCCCGCCTGGCCAGGCACCTGCTTACCTTTGTGTCTGGCAAAGTAGCGCCCCAGAATGATGAGCAAGCACAGCATGGCGAACACCACCACGGCCACGACGCCGCCAATCACGGCGTGGTCCACTGCCCGGATGGAGCCTTCTTCACCTGCTCGGGAGTCTGTGGGATCAGAAGAGGAAGAGGGATGTAGAGCTCATCACAGACACCAGAAGCCCCGGGGACGCGGCCTGCAGGGCCGGAGGAGTCAGCGAGAGCAACCGGGAGGTGGGAGGAGCGACAGGCGGGACAGACTGGGCTGGCCAGTGCTGCCCTGGCCCCTCGGCCCACAGGCCATTTCCCTAGAGCCTCTCAGGGGCGCTAATGCGCTTGGAACAGCTCAGGCAGGGAGCGGGGGAAGGAAGGGCCCATCGCCCTGGCTGCTCTGAGCGTTCACGCTATCTGTCCAGGTGCCGCTCTACCAGGGCGGCCACCCTGACCCAGGGCGCTCGCTCGGAGCGGATGGCACCTTTCGGCAGTAACGGGAGCTGTGGAGGGAGGCGGGCCGCCCAGTGTCTTAATCTCTGCTGGGCACAGGCACAGGCAAAGTGAGGCGCTCCAAGCCACAGCTGCCTAGAGATAAACAGGATTATGAGACTAAAGACAAGTGGCATGCTTGCTCCCTGTAGGATGTGTGAGGGAGGAGGCCTCAATCTAAAACCTAAAGACCTATTTCAGAAAGACAGCGAGGAATGATGGTCCGTCGCCACAGACGGCTCCTATTTTATTAATTTAGCACTCCACAACGCAATTAATTCTCCTTCATAACATCACTCCCTCGGATGTCTTCTTCCGACGGAGGAGTGACGCTTGGCTGGGGAACAGCGCGGAAAGGACCCGAGTGAGCGATGGCCGTGCGGAAGCGATGGATGGCAGGGTAAACAATTTTAATTTCGGGCTGGCTGCATCACCCCTCGCTGAAATCCTAATGGCACCCAGGATTTATAATGTAGTAAAAAACAATTATTCTCCCGTTGATTAATACATTAACATTTTGGAGTGGAAGCTAAACCATTGTCTTTCTTTTTTTATTGAGTCAAGTACGACACCTCCATTAAAATGATTTACTAGCTGTACCTTACAATTTAAGCACAGCAGCAACAGAAACGGTAAAAATCTTTTAACTTTACATGATTTGTGAAGTCATATGTGAAGGATTTACCATTTAAATCTTTCAGTACAAGCAGCACATGGCCTATAAATCTGTCCCTGCAGCTGCTGGACGCCTGAGGAATGGAGACCGAGAGCGCAGATCCAAGTCCATTTTTAAGAAAGATTTATCTCGGACTCTCGGCAAAGAACAGAGCAAATCTCTGAAGCCTCCACCTCTAATAATATTTGAAGTTTATCGATCAAGTGTACAGATCCGTGACAGCTAAAGGTAATGGTGCTCTTTTGAGCCGAAACCTGATACCACGCTTTCAGCAGGAGGCATGATTTACACTTTCCATCGATATTTCCAATTCTGCGAGGAGATTAAGTACTGAAGGGCGTGGGGAAGTAACTCCTGACCGAGGGGGTCTATGGAAAGGGCTTTGATTAAAAGAGCTTACATTTTAAAATGAAGTATTTAAAGTGTTTCATTAAGTTACCTTCGAAAGGACGACAAAACCCCAAATCCAACCCCAAACAGAAACGCCGAACGAGAGCCGCGGCGGCCGCCTGGGGCCACAGGGGATGCGCTGACGTGGAGCATGGAGATGGCGCAAGTGCAGCCGCCCATGAGCCCGCCCGCCACGCGCCAGACCCTCCGGCACCGTGTCTAACGAGCTGGGCCCGAAATCAGGGGAGAGGAACCCCTCCCGGCCAAAGCGCTGCCGAGTGCAGACGCCAGGCCTCGGAGCCTTGGAAGTCACTTCAACAAGGCAGAACTCGGCCACGGAAACGCCCAGGAGACACCAGAGCGTGCTGAAGGGGAGCACTGCCCTTGGGGTGCCCCTGGATGCTGGCACCTGCTGGGGGGCTGTGTTTACACACCGGAGACTCTCACCCCAACGGCACCGATTCAAACTGCTCACAGGGAGACAAAAGCGACAGGAAAGCCAGCGAACTGTGACTTCTTCGGGGAGCTGTCGAAGTCAGGGGTCTGTGGGAATGAGAATGAACTCATCTCCAACTGCCAGGAACTTGGGGCGAATGCCACATGAGGGCCTCTCAGCCCTGGCGAGGGAAGCGAGGCGGTTCCGGCCATGAGGAGGGTGCCAGGCATTGAGGCAAGAGGGGAAGGCAGGGCCCGCCCGGCACAGCAGAGAGCAGCGTCGATGGCTGACCCAGCACAGACCTGGCCCGTGTGGAGAAGGCTGCCTCTCCATGCCGAGGCACAGGAACGTTCTAGAAGCCAGGAAAAGAGAGAGAGCCCGCACACGAGAGAGAGCTCTTGATAAAGGAAAACGAGACCCTCCTGGGCAGCGTCCGTGGCCTTCATTTCTTCAGCCCACACGAGTCATTTGGCCTTTGCTCCCTGTGACTCTGAAGCCGCCGGAGCTCGGGCTGCTCCCTCGCTGCCCACATCCACACCTGGTGCCACCTCTCCTCCCGCCCTCCAGGCCATGCACATGGCAGACGCTTGCCTATGAGGGCGAAGGCTCCTGCTCGCTTCCGATACTCAGATCGGAAGGTTCGCCACCGTCGGTTCGCCACCGCCTCCCGTCACTGCTGACGGACACAGAAGGTGGTGATGTTTCATTCCCAGGAGACACTGCAGGCTGGGAGCTCCTCGTGCCTCCCCCCACCCCACCCACCTGGCTTCCTGCCCATCGGCAGGTGGCGGCGTGCTGGGCGCCCCTAAGAAGAGCGGGGCTGTTCCCAGCCTCATCTCACGCTTTCCTTTGTTTCCATGAGTGGACCCGGGAGGAGAGTTCTCGGTGCCATGGACGCGCCCACGGTGATGGAGCAGCAGGTGAGCGCTGGTCAGCTATCACCAGGTGGGAAGAGTGCCTGCGCCCGCGGCCGGGGCACTGTGGCCGGGCACCCGGGGCTGGTGCCTCCCTCAGGCAGCAGCAGCAGCACAAGCCGTCACTCAGAGGCGCTGGCTGATGAGTCAGATGAAACCTGGAGCTGAAGGAGATGCCGACCCCGAAAGGGGCTCTGGCGGGGCCTCCAGAAGCCACTTCCCAGTGAGGACTCGGGCGTGTCTGTGCCGCCCACCGTCACCCACAGATCCTGCTCCTCTTGGGGTCAGACTTTCGCTCAGGCCAGAGCCGCCTGCTTTCCTGGGGACGTGCTCCCAGGTCCCTGGCTCCTTTGCTCAATGAGGCAGAAAAGAGAGCCAAAGAGGTGGGCTCTCCAGCTGCCCGGCTCCTACGCGGGAAAGTTAACGTTTATAAAACCTGCTCCTCGGCCAACAGCCCTCTCTTGTCGTCTAGCGGACGATGTGCTTCCCTCCCAGGAGCAGGGGTTGGCGCTGCACTCGGGACTGAGCTCTGCTGTCCTGCAGCCGCTGTGCAGTGGAGCGTGTGCACAGGGTGCAAAGGGGCTCCAGCCCGGCAGAGCGAGCACATGGGTGGTCGCCGAGTGCAGAATCCCATCAGGACCGCAGGTGACAGGCTGTCACCGAGCCCAGTGTCTGCCTGGCGTGCGTGCCCACGCGGTGTGGCACTGTCCGGCCTGCAGTCCTGTCTGCGGCTCAGTGTCACCCGGTCTCTTGGGATGGACCCCACGGACGGATGAGCATGCCCAGTTAGCTTTCCTTTTGGGAAAGAGCTGTCCATCGAGGTCCTGGGGAGCGTTCATAAGCTGCTGACAGAAGCTATGCGGGCTCCCCCGGTGTGGCCACAGCTCCCACCATGGGCCTCGCACTGGCCTCAGAGATGGAAAGGACAACCTGTTTCGAAGGAACTCCCAGGAGGGCCGGCCAGGCTGCTCAGACCTCCCCTCGGGCCAGGCAACCGGCCGCCCATTCCTCGGGGCACTGTGCGGGAGGGGGGCACTGGGGCTCCCCTCTCCCGGCTGCCTTTCACCGCTCCTCGCAGCCAGAGCCGCTGCCTGTGTTAGAGCCGCGCTGCCCCAGGCCCCGGCTTCTGTGGCTACTTTGCGGCCTGGTCAGGGTTGCAGAACATAATCCGCCACAACCATGGTCTGTGAGAGCCGCAGGGAGCCAGGAAGGGCCAGGACACCCCAGACTAGCTCCTGGCACACGGGGACCTGGGCACCCTGGCACCTTGAGCCAGGCTGCAGCCCGAGGCCATTTTTTTTTTTTTGACAAAAGGATACCAAGTCTTCCACCTCCGAGGGGCCAAGTGCGACACGGTAACGAGTACACAGTCCCACACAGGGCTGCTTCCTTCCCACTGGGACGGTCCCGCTCGGGCTAGAGGCACCCTGGAAACTCGGGGAGCAGACACTCCCCTTAAACGCGCCATCTGTGCTCTCCGCGGTCACACCCGACCTTAGCAGCTTCTGAAGACATCAGGCCTCCTACTTGAATTTACCGAACCGTCAGCTGCTCCACCTCCACGGCCTCCTCACCTGGGGGGCTGCAGGAGAGTCCGAACCGCTGGCTTTTTGCAACAGTTCTGTCCCTGGCTCAGTCTCGCCTCCCCGCATGGAGACTCGCTGGATGGGTCAGTTTAATGGAAAGCTCTGAGACCCGGAGTTTGGGAGGGAAAGGCTGTCTCCGCTCGCTAGGGCTGGAGGGGGATGAGTCTATCTCAGAAGCAGCTTAATGATCAGGGTGGCACTTGCGACTTCTTGTTGGAAAAAAGAGAAAGCCTGGCAGTGGATTTCCCTAATCTCTCGCAAAAACAAAATCTGGCCTCAAAGACAAAACAAAACAACCCAAAAAGCCGGGCACCATCTGAATCACGGAGCTGCTCATTCTCGTCACCTATCCGTCACCGATCGCAGCTCCCGCCACGACAACAAAAACAAGTGTGCGTTTTAAAAGCACAACTTTATTACCGAAGGGCAACACACTGAATGGCGCCACTGACAAGATGCCACCTATTTGCTAATCCTAATATGTTATTCTTCTTTAAGATTTGCTTTTCTCAGCACCAATTCAATTACAGAGGCTACAAATCCTTCTGACATTTAATTCCCTCTTGTCAGAGAGCAGTAAATGCATCCAGCACGTGCACAGCTCGCCCATTAAGATGTGAATACGCACTGGGCTCACTGGCCGC